TAACCCCGTATCTCCTGGTGCCTGCCCGGGAGGCACGGGCAGTGCAGGGGAACTCACAGGGTAAGGATGCATCCCGGTACGCCAGCCCGTGAGCTGCATAGGCTCAGGTAAACACAGAAATCTGTCCCATTTTTTCCCATAGGAAGCAAGTGGAGAAAGGTTTGGAGGCAGGTGGTGGCAGAGATGGATGCTCTCACAAGGCTCCTGCCAGGACAGCCCGGAGAAAACCACCCCAACGCTCCTCACCTCGGCACACACCAGGCGGCAGGAGCCGTGGGGGTAACCCCTCCTGCTCTGAGGAGTGACACAGCTCAGCTCACCTCTGCCATGTGCTGGGAACAGCCGCTTTCTCAGAGGAGGAACACGTGGATGAGCTCCTGTGCTCATCACAGGATGTCCCTGTGCTGGTGGTGTCCAGGTGGACAGAAGCCTTCCCTGGACAGCGAGGCTCCTGCAGGCTGATGGGGACAAAGCCCATTTGCTGTTTGGTTTGGGATGCATTTGAGGTTGTTTCTAAGCCAGCTTTGGGAGTGGATGAAGCCGAAGGACACAGCTCCCTGGGGAATACACTGGCACAGCCACTCAGCACTGGAGCAAGGACAGGCACCTCAGAACTACTTCTGCTGTCAACCCTGTTTCCTGATTTCCAGCCCCAGGATAAACCACTGTGGTTACAAGACTGTGGCAATGGGTGTTCCAGCCAGCTCAGGGGGCTTCTGCAGACCCTCATGGCCGTGGCCAGGCAGGAGCCTTCAGCAGTGCCAGCTGCTGAGGAGCTGTGTCCTCCAGCCCAGGCACCCGCTGCATCCAGCCTGGAGTTAATTACAACATTGGCATCAAACAGAGACTCTTTAAATGAAAGGGAAGGACTAGCAGCTTTCTAGCTTTGCCTTTCTTTTTTAACCCCAATTGTGAGATGCATTGCAAGGGGCAGGTGATGGCAGACAATAAGGTTCAATGGGATGGTCTGAGTGTTAAATGGAGAACCAGGAAAGCCTCACATTCTGATCCCAAGTTGGACATTGATATGCTGTGTGGCCTCATCTCCAGGTGTTCTCCATGTAAAGTAGGGGTGATGCTTAGCCCGAGGGGCATTCCACAGATGAATTAGCATTTGGAAAGTGCTTTGAAGAGCTGAAGTGTTACATAAATGCTAAGTGTTAGTATCATCAGCTTTTATATTGCAGCAGAACCCAGGATCAGAGCCTCACTGCACCAGGCCACTTAGAAACTCCTGCTTGGAAAAAGCCCCTGTCCCTGCCTCAGCAATCCAGTGATCCACAGCCTGCGTGCCCCAGGCAGGCAGAGGAGGGGCTGGAATCACTGTCATCTTCCAGGGCTGGGGCTGCCCAGAGCTGTAGCACCAGTGGCATTCTCAGATGAAGAGCACAGGATGCTTCCCACAGCCCCATATTTTCCTCCACAGGGAGCCCAGGGAGTAGCTGCTGCCTTGGACCAGCACCTTGCAGGCACAGTGCTCTCCAGATACCCTGGGTCCCCTGGATACCTGGGGTCCCCCTGGGCCCCTCGAGTGTGCTCAGCACCATAGGATCCCTGGGCTGGGCCCTCCAGGGGCCTGGTCTGGGCTGAGCTGTGTGCTCAGGCAGCAGCTGCTGCTTTCCTTTGGGAATTCACTGGGAGCTGTGTGCTGCAAAACAGGTGCTGCTCCCCAGCAGAGTTTCAGTCTGTTTTGGTAGTACAGCCAAAGCAGACTGGCCTTAAAGTTCAGGAAAAGCTGAAGAAGCACTCACAAACCAGATTGGGCATTAACTGGTGTGCACAAAACCAGCCAGTCAACTTCATTTCCACCTCTTGCCCACTGCAGGATAATTCATAATTCTGTTTCCTTTCTAATCAGATGAAAATACAACACGAGTGTTAATCACAGAGCACAAATATGGAAGAATATGTAAAAAAGAAATACAACCTTCAAAACCTTTGTTTTCAATATAGTCCATGTCATGCATTGCATTTAAAAACATCAGTAGATGAGATGATGTTATTTACAACATCATTCATTAAAAAGTGTGCACTCACTCAGCCAAGCAGAAATCAGCATATGACAGACTACACAGAAATGCCAAAGTATAAAGGAAACTTGAGATGAAAGAGTGAGGTCATTGGTTTCTTGTATTATCCTGAAGATGTTTGTCAACATTTTAATTTAGCCAAATGGCCACTATTTAAATAAATAAATAAATAAATAAAAATTAAAAATTTGGCAAAATCATGATCTGGGGGAAGAACACTTAAAAAACATATTAACCCTCTACATGCTGGACTTCTGAGTGCTGAGAAGAGGGAAGGGATCTATGTGCCTTCTGGTGGCATTATCTGTGAGAGGACCAAGTAGAAACCAGTCCTTCAGATTTACAGTCTTCTTGTCTAATATTTGTATTACTTGTAGGTTGGTTTGCAACGTGACTGAGATATGGCAGAGGCTGTAAGGAAAAATCTTAGGTCTTTACTACATCTACTGCTCTTGTGTCAGGCAGCTCATCAGTAGGTGTGAGCAAGGCAGAGCTGAGATAGGAATTCAGCTGATAAAGTGAATGCAAATGGCAGACACTGTGAAAGGTCCCTGCCTTCCCATGCCACAGCTGGTGTCACTGGGGGAAGGTGCCCATGGCTCACCCCACGCTGCTGCTGCTGCTGGGTTTGGGTCTCCAGGCAGTGTATGGGGACACACCCCACAGGGAGCAGTGGTGGGATCTGGACATGCTTATCACCCTGTTGTGGCCAGCCCAGCACACAGCCCCTCGCCCACCAGCTGAGAGCTGCTGGAGCCCACGGAGATGGCACTGGAGGCCACACAGGGTGCCAGGCCCCCCAGCAGGTTTGTCCCTCATCCCTCAGAGCCACTGCTGCTGAGCTGGGCACCTGGAGGAACAGGCGGCCAGAGCCCTCACTCCCCATTTCCAGCACAGGAGCAGAAGGGCACGGCCACACCGGGCCTGGCAGC